CAGAGACACAGAGACACAGAGACACAGAGACACAGAGACACAGAGACACAGAGACACAGAGACACAGAGACGCAGAGACACAGAGACACAGAGACACAGAGACACAGAGACGCAGAGACACAGAGACACAGAGACACAGAGACACAGAGACACAGAGACACAGAGACACAGAGACACAGAGACACAGAGACACAGAGACACAGAGACACAGAGACACAGGGACACAGAGACACAGAGACACAGAGACACAGAGACACAGAGACACAGAGACACAGAGACACAGAGACACAGAGACACAGAGACACAGAGACACAGAGACACAGGACACAGAGACACAGAGACACAGAGACACAGAGACACAGAGACACAGAGACACAGAGACACAGAGACACAGAGACACAGAGACACAGAGACACAGAGACACCGAGACACCGAGACACCGAGACACCGAGACACCGAGACACCGAGACACCGAGACACAGAGACACAGAGACACAGAGACACAGAGACACAGAGACACAGAGACACAGAGACACAGAGACACAGAGACACAGAGACACAGAGACACAGAGACACAGAGACACAGAGACACAGAGACACAGAGACACAGAGACCCATAGACACAGAGACACAGAGACACAGAGACACAGAGACACAGAGACACAGAGACACAGAGTCACAGAGACACAGAGACACAGAGACACAGAGACACAGAGACACAGAGACACAGAGACACAGAGACACAGAGACACAGAGACACAGAGACACTGAGACACAGTGACACAGAGACACAGAGACACAGAGACACAGAGACACAGAGACACAGAGACACAGAGACACAGAGACACAGAGACACAGAGACACAGAGACACAGAGACCCAGAGACACAGAGACACAGAGAGACAGAGACACAGAGACACAGAGACACAGAGACACAGAGACACAGAGACACAGGGACACAGAGACACAGAGGAACAGAGACACAGAGACACAGAGACACAGAGACACAGAGACACAGAGACACAGAGACACAGAGACACAGAGACACAGAGACACAGACAGAGACACAGACACAGACACAGACGCACACACACACACACACACACACGCAGACAGACACACCCGGACACACACCACAGACAAAGACATAGACACACACACACGCAGAGACACACAAACACACAGACACACACACAGACACGCAGAGACACAGACACACAGACAGGGATAGAGACTCAGACACAGACACAGACGCAGACGCAGATGCAGACGCAAACACGCACCAACGCGTCAGCGTCAAACCCAGATATGGGCAAACTGTTTCCCTTCCCTTCTTGCAGGGAAGAGCTGCATCGCCTCGAATTCAATCGTGGCTTCCAGATTTGAAGGCTTGACTTTTCAGGCTCAAAGGCACAGCCTGAGAGACCTTGCCATGAAGTTTACCAAGAAGGCTGTAGGCGCGGGTTTGCAACTGCTGGTGTTCTTAGTCAGCAGGAATGTCAGTCTCACCCGTCCCTGGCAAGGTACTGGGAAAGCAAATTTTCCCGTGCAGTATGACCTGAGTGGGAGGGTGGAGGTCATTGTGAAGGGTTCGAAGACACAAGTAATTGGTGATTGCGCATTCTTCCTTTTGCGGACTTCGTGGACTAAGTTTCTTGTATGCCCTGAGCTTACGTGCGCGTGCGCGACGCTATTCGTCCGTGGTCGTGCTCCAAGGCCTTGTCGCGGCGTTCCCTGTCGGCAGAAGCAGGTTTCCGAACCTGTCACACTTTCTCATGCGAACAGATTGCTGATGGAGCGTAGCTGAGGTACCTTATTTTGATTTCACTTTTTGCGTTTCCTGGTCAGCAAGAAGTACTGCTTGTGGGAAGCATTTGTGGCAAATGCTTTGCGGCGCCGAACCTAAGGCTCTTGTACCTGGCAGAAGCTGACGGCATATTGTGTCTAGTCAAGGATGAGCCGTGCGACTTTTGGGACGCATTGAACTTGTCTGTGCATAGCATGTCGACGATTGGCTTTGGCTCCATTGTCCCGCACAGTGCTCTTGCAAACACTGCAGTTGCCGTCGAGTTCTGGATCGCAGTTCTTATGGGGGCAGCAGCCGGTGGACTGCTCTTCTCCCGAGTCAGCACCGCCAGCAGCCGAGTTGCATTCTCGAGCGTGGCCTTGGTGACCAACATCCGTGGCTGCCCGACAGTCACCATGCGCATCGTCAATGAACGACCGTTCAGCGCGTTGTTTGACGTGACCTGCCGCGTCAGTGCCTTGGTGAAGGACCCCAAGGCCGGGATGCGGATCCTGGTCCCATGCGAGCTGGAGCGAAGCACGAATATGATGTTCCGAGCGGCGCTTGGCCCAGCGATTGTTTGAACGTGTTGCGAGCCACGCAAGCCATATTCAGCCTGTCGCGCTGAGGTGTGGAACATTTTGCACCGCTTGGACGAGAAGAGCCCACTGCATGGCCTTGACGAGAGCAACTTCGAAGACAAGTTCCTTGCCTTTGTGGTGCAGATTGAGGGTACCGATCAGACCTACATGCAGAAGGTCTTTGCCAACAAGTGCTACTACCCCACAGACTTTCGCTTCAACGAGTCCTTTGCCGACATCATGACGATGGGCATGAACACCATCACGGTAGACTTGAACGGGCTCAGCACCACTCAAAAGGTTGCCGAACCCTCCAAGCGATTGAGCTTTCTCAGGGCAAACACATTTTCGCCAGAGGAGGCAAGCAAGATGGCTACCTTCAGGGTGCAGGAAAAAGACGAGGAACTGGCGAAGGACAAGCAGGCGGATGCATCTACCAGAGCCAATTCCCCCAGTGAGGAGGAATGCCTGGACGAGGATCGCCACATCTTCTCCACAATTTGAGTTTCCGTAGGCCAGGAATGGCTCGTCACAACGTGGTGTGCTTCTTGGGAGGGTTCCCTTTCTAGTTTGGTTGAAGGGCAACCGGGAAGGAACACCTGCCGGTTTTGACTTTGCTTTCTGAGCCAGAAATAGCATTCCATCAGCGCCTGGTTTCGAACCAACCCTTGAAGTGCAACCTTTGAACTCTGTGCATACCATGTGTTTTGACAGGTGGGTCGGGGAACGCTCCTCAACACTGCTGAGGCCTCACGGGATCCGTCCCCTAAAAAGGAAGTGGCAATGCGCCCCTGTTATTTTGGGGTCTTGTTGGGCTTAGGCATCTCTTCTATTCCCTGTAGAAGCAACAGATGACTGTTTTGCTTCAGCTGCCCATCGCAAGATTGATAAAGCATGGCAACCCCCCCCCCCCAAGGCCCGAAGCCCTAGGCTGAATCAAACCAGCCAAGCGTTGAGTCCCCGAAGAACCTGTTATTCTTTACTTTCTAGGATCTCCGTTGCAGCCAGGGCCGTTTCACTTTGCTCATGATGACGACCTGGTGAACCATGCGGCGACTACTAGATTGGGCCATGTTCATTTATTAAAGTGCCTTGGCTCACCATGCTTCAGTCGCAATCAGTTCGCCTTCAAAGGAACTAGCAGCAGTCTGAAGTAGTCTCCTGCATGTTCCTGGGCCGTGCGCGTTTGCATGAGTCATGTGGTCTCCAATTGTTATGGTCGTGTTGTTTGGATCTTCTCACTTCTTGGCGGGGCCTGCAGGCGATCATGTATTTGTGCGCCCGGAAGTTGGGCGAGATGCTCACGCCTTCACTGGCCTCCTGGCTTTCTTCGATAGCTTCCTCCGAAGGAGAGATTGTTTTTTCTCACGAAAGCCGTGCCGTGGCCTGATGCTGGCGCCGTAAATCTGATGGATTGGTTTAGCGCGCGCTGGCCCAGGCTTCAACGCACGCACTTTTTTTTGTTGCAGCTAGTTTGGTAATTATTCGCTGCCCTGGCCGAAAGGCCGCAAGCGAAGCCACTTCAGGCGACTCCTATGGGTTGCAGGTGTTGAGGCTTGGATGCGGAGCAAAATTGGTTCAGCTTCGTTGAGTGGAGTGAGGGGCTGAAGAATGCATTCAAGGCATGCTTAGCATGGTCAGCAACATTCCATCAGAGGGTCGCGTGCCCCCCTCGACTACGCTGGATTGCGTAAGCAAAAGCGACCTGCGTTGCTTTCATCTCGGTCGTTTGGTTGTTTGTTTGGTTAGTTGCTTGGTTGTTTGTTTGGTTAGTTGTTTGTTTGTTTGTTTGTTTGTTTGTTTGTCTGTTTTTGTTTTTGTTTGTTCGTTTGTTTGTTTTTTTGTTTGTTTGTGTGTTTGTTTGTTTGTTTGTTTGTTTGTTTGTTTGTTTGTTTGTTTGTTTGTTTGTTTGTTTGTTTGTTTGTTTGTTTGTTTGTTTGTGTGTTTGTATGTTTGTTTGTTTGTTTGTTTGGTTTGTTTGTTTGCTTGTTTGCTTGTTAGTTTGGTTCGGTGGTGGTATGTTTATTTGGTTCGGTGGCTCTGTGTTTGTTTGTTTGTTTGTTTGTTTGTTTGGTTAGTTTGTTGGCTGGTTGCCTGTTGTTTGATTGGTTGTTTGGTTGGTTGGTTGGCTGGCTGGCTGGTGAGTTGTTTTTTTGGTGGGTTGGCTGGCTGGTTGGTTAATGGTTTGGTTGGTTTGGTTGGTTCGTTGGTTGATTGGTTGGTTGGTTGGTTGGTTGTTTGGTGGGCTGGTTGGTCGCGTCGCTTGGTTGTTTGGTTGCTTGTTTACTTGCTTGGTTTGCTGGTTGGTTGTTTGGTTGTTGGCGTGCTTGCCTTCTGGTTTGGTTGGTTGGTTGGCTGGGTGAGTTTTTTTTTTGGTGGGTTGGTGGGTTGGTGGGTTGGTGGGTTGGTGGGTTGGTGGGTTGGTGGGTTGGTTGGTTCGTTGGTTGGTTCGTTGGTTGGTTGGCTGGTGAGTTGTTTGTTTGGTGGGTTGGCGGGTTGGTTGGTGGGTTGGTTGGTTAGTTCGTTGGTTGGCTGTTCCGTTGATTAGTCGGTTGACTGGCTGGCTGAGTGGTTGGTTGTTTGGTGGGTTGGTTGGTGGCTTGGTTGTTTGGTTGTTTGGTTGCTTGCTTGCTTGCTTGCTTGCTTGCTTGCTTGCTTGCTTGCTTGCTTGGTTTGTTGGATAGTTGTTTTGGTTCGTGAGCGTTTGGCTGGTTGGCTGGCTTGCTGGCTGATTGGTTGGTTGGTTGTTTGGTTGGATGGCTTTTGTTTTTGCATTTATGTTGGTTCGGCCCGTTGCTTTTGGTTGGTTTGTTGCACGTGTGTTTGGTTGGTGGGTTTGTGCGTTGGGTTGTTTGGCTGTTTGTCTTTCGGTTGGCTGTTTAGTTGGTTGTGCAGCTGGTTAGTTTGTTGGTTTGCCTGCTTGTTTGGTTGGCGGTGTTGCGCGATTGGTTTGTCTGGCTGGATGGCTTGCCGGCTGGCTGGCTGGCTGGCTGGTTGGTTGTTTGTTTGTTTGTTTGTTCGTTCGTTCGGTTGGATGTTTGTGCATATTTGTTGGTTAAGCTGTTTGGTTGTTTGGTTTGTTGCGCGGCTGTTTGGTTGGTGGATTTGTGCCTTTGGCTGTTTGGTTGTTATTCTTTTGGTTGGCTGTTTGGTTGTTTGTTCAGCTGGTTGGTTTGTCGGTTGGCCAACTATTTTCTTGCTGTTTGCTGGTTTGCTTGCTTGTTTGGTTGGCGGGTTTGCGCGGTTTGGTTTGTTTGGCTGGCTGCCTGATTGGTTGGTTGGTTGGTTGGTGTGTTGTTTCTCGTTTGTTTGGTTGTTTGGTCGGTTGCTGGTTGGTTGGCTGATTGCGTGTGATTTAGCATTTGTTTGGGTTGTTTGGGTTGTTTGGTTGGTTGGTTGGTTGGCTGTTAGGATTTTTGTGGATTTGTTGTGCGTTTGGTTGGTTGTGGTTTGATTGGCTGTGAGGGGCACTGCACCCAGCGCACGGCTAAACGGGGACTTCTGGGAGACTGTCAGGCTGCATGGTCTCTTCTTGCGCATACTGACTTGGGATACTGAAATTGCTCATGGCTTGGCACCTGAGTAGCCGTGGGGACGCAAGGCAGCATGGTACGGACGGAAATTCGGCAAGATAGAAGCCGCCGAGAAAGATAAAGATCGTCAGTCATCAGTCCCAAGCACCTCAAAACGCTGGACCACCGCGAGCTAGTCGACGAACCCACGACAGAGAGGGCTACTTCGAGCAAAGACCGTGAGCAGCGAGTGCGAGACGCATTTCCCTTCTAACCAACAAAGCGTGTCACAGTCAGATGCAAGTGCGACCCAATCCAGCCGGTGTGAATTTGCGGCGAAAGCAAGGATGAGAGCAACGTAAAGGCCCAAAAGCAAGCAAGAAGGTTGGTGAAAGAAAGCGCGACGGACCACAGCCAAATAGGTTTGAAGAGCCTCCCAGGAAAACCCTCACTTTCTTGGTCTCGCAGACAGTCACGCTGCTCTCCCAGGTGCTGAGTTGAACTCCCTGCGACACTCCTTGCGCGGCCGGTGTTGCGTTCTTGGTGCCACATTCCTTTCTTGTTTCCCCAAGCTGCTCGAATGCTGACAGCACGCGAGTCGTCAGAGAGAGAGAGAGAGAGAGAGCACGCAGTGGGGTTTCAGTTGCCTAGAAGGAAGGAAGGTATGACAATGTCACAGGCAGATTCCAAGATTAGCACGTTTTTGCCTATGACTCTGAGCTTACTGAATTGCAGGCGCGAGCGAAAGTTGAATTCGGCGGCGAGCACTTCATGAGCTGCCTCTCGCGAACGGCTGCTCAAGCGTCAGCAATTCCGAACACAGCAGTGCCAAAGCCGAAAGCACGCCCAGAAACTCGCAAAGCATCAGGCGCGCAGCTTCCGAAGCAAGCGAACAAGACGCGCGGTGTCAAGCTACAGCCAACCATTCGTGTGGGACGTTGGGTTGCCAAACTAATGCTTGAGGAAAAGCTGGTAGAAAAGCCAGCCATGGAGGGCATCGAAGATCTGCGGCCCACTCCTCCGGGCTCTGCCCGCACCTGGACCTGGGGCGTTTTCGCGCAAGCCTGGGCTACCATGCGCCTTGGATCAAGGGGTTTTGAAAATGACATTTTGAAATGACAACCAAATGGTGTCCACCACTTGGAGAAATTCCCAAATTCAACCAGCACAAGAAGGCGCTCTTGTTTCCTTTGCCATTCCGCAGCCCCCCCGCTCGCCTTGATGCGCGCTTTTTGGTGGGGTGCTGTTTACTCCCAGTAGCAAGCTCATGGGGGTGGCGCTTCCCCTGCAAATTAAGGATGCCTTGAAGATGGGTTGCACCATCTCTAGTCAACCAGAGAGGCGCGCCCTTTCCGACCGGGGGCGCGCCCTCTGCCAGCAATCATGACAAGGGGCAAACCCTCCTGCGCACTTCCACGATTGTGAACATCTCCTTGGAACGTCTTCAGAAGCACGAACAAACACACAACCAAACGAAGCAAGCAAGCAAGCAAGCAAGCAAGCAAGCAAGCAAGCAAGCAAGCAAGCAAGCAAGCAAGCAACCACGCACACACGCACACACGCACACACGCGCTCACGCGCGCATGCACGCAAGCAAACGAGCAAGCAAACATATAGACCAGTGCCCCCAGACTAAGATCCCCAACTAACTGCTTTTTGGACAGCACGCACATTGAAAAAAGACCGTGGTTGTCTCCCGGCTTCACAAATCCCAGAAAGGATGGTGAATTCGGGCACCTTCTCCAGCGGCGCAGCTCTGCTTAGTCTGGGCCTCTCTGTGCCGGAGACGCTTCTGGCGCAGAGCTGTGGCGCAGTGATTCTGTTGGCGGGGCTGATCCTCAATGCCTCCGCCGGCGTGAAGTGACTTGGAGACGTCGATTTGGGCGTGTTTTTGGAGTTGGCGCCCTTTTTTAGGATGCTTTCACAGATTTACAATTTGGAGGGTGCCAGTCCGTTTTGGAGGTTTGCAAGGGCCACCGAAAGTAAATACAGCGTCTTAGGTGGCTCCCAAAAATTGACGCAGACCCATAACTGCCATATGCTTTTTTGGCGTCGCTGCCTTTTTGGAGGTTTTGAAGGGAAGCCAAAAATATATCCAGCAGTCAATATTGAGACAAACCCATTCGGGTGTGGATTTCAATCGGGGGGACCCTCTGGAGGTGGGGATTCGTGTCCCCATTCGTGTCCAACCACTTTCCTTCTGAGAATTTATGGCCATATGGGTATGCGTCAATATCAGGACGTGGACTCCAAACATGCTGGTGTTCCTTTGAGTTTCCCCACCCAATCTGAACAAGGTTCCCTATGGCCCCTCAAACCGACTCGTATTCTCGGTGGCGTTAGGGCCGCTGCGAATTGAAATCTTTTGGTTGGGGAGAGAATGCCGTCAGATGAGAGAACGCCGTCAGACCTGCCCAAACGTTTGAAAATTATGTTGGTAGAGCCGAGCATAAACGGGATCTGCTCGCGTCAGAAGTCCGGCCCTGTTGCCTGTTGCCGTTTGCCCTTTGGTTTCTCCCTTCAAAGCTAAGCCGGGTAAACCCTCAAACCACTTACTAACTTTGCCCCAAGTCAAAGGGGGCAACTGAGCTGAGGTACGGCATTCCTTTCCCCGTCTTCGCGCGCAGTTCCTTTGGAAGCGGCGGAGCCCATTTTTGCACCTTGTCTCGCGGAGCCGTTGCGATCATGTGGCTCTCCTTCCAATGCCGCTGGTGCTGAATAAACCATATAGTTGTATTGTCCCCTTCAAAATAACAAATGTTTCTTAATTCCAGCTAGCTATTTCCAGCTAGCTATTTTTTGAAGACCCCTTCAAGCTCAAGGCTGGCAGGGTGTGCTTGGCATCCACGCCGCCTTGGGCCAGGTGGTTGGCAGGGCCCGGCTGCGCAGCTGGGGACGACTTGGAGAGCACCTGGATGTGGCAACGCGACATAGTTGGCCTTTCATGTGATTAAACAAACCACGGTTTACGCAAGGACCCGGTCCAAGTGAAGAAGAATGGGGTTGGGACCTCAAGACCAAACTTGGTCGCGTGCAGTTATTTCGCCCCTCAGATTGCGAGTAATTTTTGGCTTGGGTTGATGGCTTGCGCGTTTGGAACTTTGGTTCTTGTCAAGGGTAAATAGAAAGCTACAACCCCGTCTCCAAACCACCAAGGGCAAGCTCATTCGGAAAGAGAGACCTTGAATCATGCTTGAACACCTTCGCATTCATTAGATCCATCCCACATAGATTATTCAAACAACGCATCTATCAGAAGATGTTTAGATTTAAGCCACTTCGTTGGTCAGAGCAGCCCAGTTTCGAACTGCCGTGTGGAAACGTGCATGCACAACCACGTTTTTCCGGCACAACTGTGAAAGGGAGTGCAAGTACACTTACGGGGCCAGCTTGCCTTCAAACCATTTGGAAGCCCCCTAAAGGGTCTGCAAGGCTCCTCAAGGTACCTCCGCCCTATGAACACCCCCTCTTGTTGGAGAACAAAACCAACCGGCAGAAGGTAGAACAGTGCGTCTGGCTGAGGCCAAGCTTGTCATTTTATTGCTGTATTTGGGGCTGCATGCCGTGCTCATCCAGCTGGGCCCCGCCAAGCTCAAGCGCTGCATCTCTTCAGTGCTGCCCTTCATGGTGATGGGCATCCTAGGTATCGCCGTGTGGCCTAGCAGAATGATTGACCCCGACATGTGAAATGTCTGCTCCCCCCGCGGCTTTTGTTCATTTACATGCTGATTTACGTTTCTCTTAGGGGTCCGGGCATACCACAAGGAGCCCCTTCATAGGGATTCGTTTGGACTTCGGATCAACCCTTCAGGGCCCACTGGCTGTCAAATGGCCTCCCCTAGCTATTGGTTTAAACAATTTGGATATTTGTGTTTCCCATTATTTTTGGATCCTTTTGCTCCAGGCTCAAACCATAAACCCGACTTGTTTTCTGGAAATGTAGCTCACCTTTTTGTGGTGATGGTCTGCCTTGAAAGTCAACCATGCGTTTTGAGGATGCCCCAATCAAAGTTTGTTGAGTTGTCCACTCTCTTTTCCGGGAGTATTTGGGTTTCCGCAAACCACCTCCTGTTTTTGGCGGGGTGTCTTTCCCTTGAACGGGAAGCACGTGTGGGCGAGTCTCGCATGAAAACTAGACCCAATTCGGTCTGTCCTCTGCGCATGTGTGTCTTTTGCGTGCTGCAACAACGCACCCCGTCGAAATCAACCCACGCCACCGGGCAATACACTTTTCTTTCCTGCAGACCTGGCCAGCAAGGTGGGCCGCCTTCCTGTGCCCCGTGCAGGACGTAGACCGCGAGGGGAGCGTGCAGACCGGCTCGTTCAACCATGACGCTCAAAATGGTGGTTTGTCCCCTTTGGTTTGTCTTTGAAGCAACCTAAACAAGCGGGCGTCCTCAAGCAAAGCGACACCCACTTCTTGCTGCCCAGGGGAATCCGCTCAAAGCCTATGCGCGATTCACAACGAAGCAAAGACACGCCCAAGCAGGAACACGCCACCCCACTCCCCACTTCACCGATTCGCCCTCGCTCAATAGCGAGCGAGGAGGCGCTGGTCGCTGCAGAGGAGTCGACCCCCGAGAGCATCGGCTCTAAGTCCATCGCCTTCTTCGCAGCGATGAACTCCTCCATCGGAGCCTCGATGCGGCCGAAACGGAACGAGACACCCGGGGGTACCCAGTTGTTGTCGTGGCCTTTTTTGTTGTTAAGTTGACCCATTGGTTGTCCTTTTCCCCCCAAGATAGCAGATTTTTGTGTGGGCGCATGTCCTAAAAGAGGGGAATTGGAACATGGGTTTCCAAAGCCATCCCAAAAAGAGACCAACCACTCAAGAAAGACGCCACCATATTGTTCCAGCAACAACTTCTCGAACCCAGGGACCTGGTCCACGCTGGTGCTGAATGTTTGCGATTTGAGCCGCTTCTCTCCCACTCAGAAGGACCAGGCAGGATTTCACATCGCAATAGGGTTGGGACCCCTTTTGGTTGGTTGTGCTTTCGAGCCCAAAAGGGAACCAACCAACCAAAGGGTGAGCAGAAGGGAAGTCCAAAAAAGCTGTTGATGTCGGACTGGAGCCTATAGTCCATTTTATGGGTCCGGAACATGGGCGAGCCAACGAGCCCTGCCTGTTCCACTAGAGGAAACAGTTGTAACTTTGACCATGGCTCAATCAGCGGCGATCAAAATCCTTGAAGAAACTTTGTCTTAAAGCGCCAAAATGGAATTCCGCAGAAGGTTGGTTCAGGGCGCGGAAGCTTGCGAAGCTTCTGTGAAGCGCATTGCAAACTTTGTTTGTGCGGAAGCCTGCGGAAGCTCTGAGTTGCGGTTTCACTTCTTGCAAGCTTCAGAGACGTCAAACAAAATGAACGATTTTATTGGTTCGAGCAAGTTTTTTCTTTTTGCGCCGCACCCGTAGAGCAAACAAAAGCCGACGCCCTCTTCGGCGGGAATTCCGTGCAAAAAACCAGTGCTTTCGATATTTTCGAAATCAACCGTCGAAAAAGGATAACAACAACCCCTTCCCGAAGCATAGACTTCAAAAAGCGCAATAATGTCGGGTTTCGCAGCGACAGCGCTATACAGGCGGGGATTTCAATCAACACGTATTTTGTCCAAATCCAACGTCGAAAGCAATTGCCAAGAAAGCCCTGAGAATGCTGGGAATGCAGATTGTCACAAACCGAAGGCAACCCCCGCCCCCCCGAGACCCAGACAAAACACCTGTTTTTCCAGCGTCCAACGTTCAAAGGCAAAAACTAAACACTGGAAAACCACAGGGTGTTGGACACCCGGCGAAGTTTGCTAAAAGATGGTTTGAAAAGCCTCGGCTTTAAACAACACTTCCTGGTTCTTGCCTTCCCCCCAAGAACCGCCGGCATGGTCACTGCACAAACAGGTTTGTCTCAATATCAGCCTCCGAAATTGGCTGTTCCGTTTGCAAAAAGCACTCACACTTGAATGTGTCTCAAAACAGAACCACCCCCCCCAATGCTCAAGAATACGTTGCTTTTCCCCCTGTTGGACATTTTTCTCATCTTTCCAGGGGGCGAAGCAACGCACTTTGTGTGGCAACCGCGGGGTTATACTTAGATCCGGGATCAAGATGCGAAGGCGCTGGGACAGGCGCTTGGCGTGCCGGTGCCCTTTGTGGCCACCTTGTTCATTGGGATGTGGCTGGCTGGAGCCACCACAGTCGCTGCTCGGTGTTTTTTGAAGGGAATGTTTCCAAGGGAAGCCAAGCTAGGGAGTTTCTTGAAATGACCGAACAAACCCTTTGGAGCGTGCTCACACCAACCCCGCCCCCCCCCTTCCCGCAGCGGTTCAATTTGCTTGTAGGATTCTCTTCAAAAAGCGGCTTTTCAGCCGCAGGTATGTTTGAGCGCCGAGGGGCAACTCGTGCGACGCACCCACGCCCGAAAGAAATTTCCGGGTTCTCGAAAAAGCGTTCCACGCACGGTGCTCCAATTAAATGGCCGGAGAACTCCAGATGTGTAGCCTTAGAAAAGAAAGGTTCGCGTGAACCGGAAGCATGTGCGGTACCCCGCGAGATGCGGTGAGAGCGCGAGTCAATGGAAGAAGCGAGTGCGAACGATCAGCGCGGCGCGTCATCTGTTCCCGTTGTTATGTCATCTTTTCTCGGTGTGGCACATGTCTGGCAGTCGCATCGCAACATCTTTCTCACAAGCGATTCGTGTTGGGTCTCTGCTGCCGTCCTGCGCCCCAGATGAGTCAGTCAGTGTGAGTGAGGGAGAGAGTGTGAGTGAGTGTGGCGGGATCAGTGAGTGAGTGAGTGAGTGAGTGAGTGAGTGAGTGAGTGAGTGAGTGAGTGAGTGAGTGAGTGAGTGAGTGACTGAGTGAGTGAGTGAGTGAGTGAGTGCGTGAGTGAGTGAGTGAGTGAGTGAGTGAGTGAGTGTGTGGGTGAGTGAGGGAGCGAGCGAGTGAGTGAGTGAGTGAGTGAGTGAGTGAGTGAGTGAGTGAGTGAGTGAGTGAGTGAGTGCGTGAGTGAGTGAGTGAGTGAGTGAGCGAGCGAGTGAGTGAGTGGGTTATTGGCTACGAAACTGGCAAGCCATCTCCAAAGCGCTGCGTCTGTCACGCAGAACGGGGCCCTCCGCCGCGCGCTCGGCGCCAAGCTGCAGAAAATGCTGCGCTTGCCACGACATTTGCGAGCCATCTCCAAAGTGCTACGCCTGTCACGCAAACCGGGGCAGCCGCGCTCTCGACAACATCCAATCTCTGCTGGCAAACGCTGTCCATGCCACGCAAACGCACACCCAGATGCAGGAAATGCTGCACCTTCCGCGAGATGCGCAAGCCATCTCCAAAATGCTGCGCCTGTCACGCAAAACGGGCCCTCAGCCGTGCGCTCGACGCCCAGCTGCAGGAAATGCTGATCGTCACGCAAAACGGGGCCCCCAGCCACGCGCTCGACAACATCCAATGCCTTTACGTAGCTACCGAACGCACGCAAACGTACAGTGAATGCAAGGAACGGGGCGCGCGGCTTGCCATTTCTGCTTCTGGTGTGCTACACTCTGTCCCCGCAAGTGCCCGTCATGTCAGCACAGACTTCCATCCTGTGGCAAATGCAGGCTAGGCGGCGCAAGCAATGGAGTATGAGGCCCTGTTCAACACACTCTGTTCTCCACAAGACATTGGCCTGGCGCACCACGAACGCCCTGCTGTGTTCAAGATCAGGCAGCGGTCAACGACGACTTCCAAGGGAATTGTTTGGAGCTGGGACTACGCAGCGCTGCTGACACCATCGCGGGGTTGTTCTGGTGAAGCATGCTACGGCGCGTCCTCTAAAACGGTCTAGACTGCTTCCCACGTGGGACTTCAAGAAAGCGAGCCAAAGCGATCTGCTTCCCCGGCCGTTCAAATCAAGCCACCGCCTTGACGGGCCTTGTCCAGCACACTGATGGCCAGCTTTCTGCGCCAGCCAGGCCACGTGCAGAGGCATTTTCGCGCTGCGCAGTCCAGCAAACACTGAGTCACCAGAACTTGCAGCAGTGTGCTGACAACGTAGCCGAGCAATGCCTGGCGAACCACGGACACAAAGATTTCCTTTTCCCACAACGGTGCTGCAAGTTGCAGCTTGCCAGCTGCAGCTGGAGCAGTCGCATGGCAACAATAGCGATCACTTCTTCCAGTTTATTGGCCAGCTTTATGTAGAGCACTGCCGCCTGCTACTTGGCAGAAGCTCGCCGCTTTCAGCAAGATGGCTCGGGAGCACGTGGCGGGGTATTTGGGCAAGTTGCATTTCTGCATGTGCTTAATTCTCTGCCCAGCCGAGTTTTGTCGGCAAAAGCTCTGCAATCGGCTCACACCGGCTGCTGCTCTCCAAGCCGGCCGACCTATCACGACAAAGTTTACCAAAGTTTACGAGAGCCGTAGCCACGGCTACGCTGCGTGAGTTGTCTCACAGCCGTGCTGGGCGTGGTTGATGGCGCACCCACCCTCACGTGTCATGTGGCGACCTGCCAGTATCATGAACACAGCGCCAGCGCCAGCGAGTTCGTCAAGATAAGATGGAATGTCCTGGAAGATGGAATGCACCAGTGAAGAAGGGAAATTCAACGCGCCTGCAGATGCCAGTTCGTGCCGGAACTCTGATATTTTGAATTGCGGCAAGAACTTCTTTTCTTGCCTCAGCACTTGTGACATTCGGCCCGAATCAGGTTTGCAAGCCTTTGTGCGATTGAGGCAGTTGATGCCCCCAACCTAGCCGAAGTTGACGAAAGCAACCCTGGCGGCGGTCCCTGATTGTTTCTTTGCCAGGTTGTGGCGCAGAGACAGCTCTTAGTAGCTTGCGTCCGACAGATTTTGGGCTGGCTGAAAAGAACAGCGAGAAGCGTGTTTGTTTGCTTGGGGACATAGAAGCCTGGAATTATGCTCAGCCAGAGTGCCACACGTGTTACCTGCGTGCGTTCCAAGAGCGTTCTCGTAGACACACCTCGCATCCCCGACATTCGTAGTCAACCCCGGACTAGGTCTGTCGCCAACCGACCTTGCGTCGTCCCGCCAATGCTACCGCTGCCTGGCGCGCGCGGTTCTCCAACTTTACTTCGAAGCAAAGGTTTGTAGGTCACATGAACACCACACATGTGACCTACATGAGTTCCAAGAGCGTTTTCGTGGCACCTCGCACCCCCGACATTCCCAGCGAACGCTCAATGCATGTCTGCAACGTGGCAAACGACAAGATCAACATCATGTACAATGCACAGACGCCTTGACTGGTGGAAAGTAGCCAGAAAGAAGCCGCCGCGTGCGCTCAGCGTCCTTGTTTGCTGGCAGAAACATGAAAACCTTGAATTCTTGTTAGCCAGCCCGAAATTCTACAATTTTTGCGTTTTTTTTTTTAAAGGTTGCGGCCTTACTTATTTTCGGTGAGAACGCCCAGGCCGCACCCCCGCCCTGCCACATGATAACCGCTCAAATGACCCCGCTCAGCAGTGAATCCACTCCCTGCCACATGACACACGCCTGCTCAAGTGACCCCACTCAGCACTGTATCCACGCCCTGCCAAAAGATAAGCACACCCACTCCTTGCCAAATGACAAGCGCACCCGATCAAGCGACCCCCCTCAGCACTGCCCCGCCAAATGGCAAGCGCACCCTCTCAAGTGACCCCGCTCAGCGCTGTATCCACGCCCTGCCAAGTGATAAGCGCACCCGCTCAAGCGACCCTGCTCAGCACTGTATCCACATAAGCACACGCGCTCAAATTACCCCGCTCAGCACTGTCCACTATGTCGGCCTGAGCTATATGGCGGCCTGATCTAGAAAAGCTTCGCGAAGACACGACTGTTCGTTTTCCTGTTTCTTTCAAGAAAGTGATTTCGCCTAGGCGAAACGCATGTCAGGTCCAAAACGGCAACACCGTCGTGGAGGATCTGAGGCGTCTGCAACATGATTTTTGGCAGGCGACGTTCGTTTCGCCTAGGCAAAATCACGCTTTGAGGTTTTTGCGGCGTGAGTTGCTCAAAAACGCAGGGCGCGTTGCAGGCGTCGTCGCCTTGTTTTTGCGGTTTTTTTCTGCAATGTGGCTGGAACGCGCCGCAGTGCATTGCGGCAGGGATTTCCCCGCAAGAAGTTGGGAAATCCACACCTGTCCACAGCTCAGGCTTATGGCAAAGCTGTGTGGCAGATCCCCGACTGCTTCGCGCACTGGCCCTCAATGGTGTCTGTGCTGGCAGGCCTGGTCTTGGCCGCCGCCACGCTGCTGGTGAACGTCTTAGCGCCGCGGAGAACAGATAAGCCCGCGTGTGGGGTGTTCTTCGCGCTTCCCTTTCAAATGGCTTCCCTTTGGAAATCGTGGGCCAAATGATTAGAATGCGGGTTCTGGCGCCACGAAGCTAAAAAATCCGTCAATGGGAACATAGCGATAGTGTTTGTTCAGCTTTTTGTGTTGGAGGAAAACTGGTTTTGGGGTGTGGGCTTCCAGAAAATCCAGCGGGAAACCGCCCATTGGAAGCGATCGTGAAATAACATGTTCTGCCCATGTTATGGCGAGCTCACAGAAGCGGGTGTAAAACGAGCTCACCTGTCAGTTTCTCAAAACTTTTATGGGAATTCTTACTTACCAACAATCTTCAAGTGCTTGAAGGGTCCATGACCATACCCACTAACCCAAGTAAACAAGGAAGGTACTCATACAAAACGTATCGATGTTGTTTTGAACCTTCTGCCCGTCCTCAGCCAAGAGTCCAGGAAGGGGAGCCAGCGCATTTCTTGGCGCTGTTCGGATGTTTCCCATTTTCGGCATTGTTTGTGCGAAGGTATCACGGACCAAGGCGCAATGTCCAGGTCTGTTGGGGGAGGTGTCGAAATAGGCGGGCCGCAACATGGTTTGTTTCAAGCCAAGCTGAGTAACACATGCAAAAGACGCCGAGGCCAACATCATCTCCCCAATCAATGATTTGATGAATGTGGCACCCAACCACTTCACCTACCGGGGCTGCGGGTTCTTTGTGCTGATATTGTCAGTTGCGGTTTGCCCGTGGTGGACCTTCTCCGGGAGGAGCGAAACGAATCGCTGGGTTTCGGCCGGGTTTCAGCCTCCTTCTTGTTGAATAGGGGTTAATGTCTGAGGAAGTTACGAAGTTACCACTAGACCAACGTAGTACAGGTGGCAGCCAGGAATCAACGGTTGTTCTTTCTTGCTTCATTTAAGTTCCTATAAGGCTTGGTTTCCTTTTCTGATTTTGCGTCAGGGTCGGGTCGGCGGAATCCAAGGTTTCGTGAAGAGGTGAAGTGGAACTGATAAGGCCTCGGCAAGGCCTTACTTATGTGGAGGAAATCAACTCAGGGTTGGCGGACTAAGATGGGGTTTGACCTCTTCCAAAAAATAGTTTCGCAGCCCCGCCTTTGACTGGGATGATTGGGGTCACAGGGCCGAATAGCCTGCAAATGAATATGGACGAAAACTCCTGTCTCCAGTTCCGAGCGGAAGGTTGGGGGAAGGTTTGCGGAAGGTTGCGAAGATGCCTTCCACGAAGTTGTCGCGCTTCCGTTGCCCCAACAAGGGCACACAAGGGGATAGACACAGGTATGGCATGGTCCGTGGATCTACTTGTGTGGTTTCGCTGTGCTTGCGCAAGCAAAAATACACAAACCAATCTTTCACGAAGAAAGCTGCATCCGCATAAGTTGTAGACACAACTCTTATAAGCTACACTCACAGCCACGGAAGCCTTGTGTTGGCCATAAAGGAATTTGTTTAGTGGCTCAGTTGCCAAAATTCGTTTGCGCTGTTGGTTTGGTGGCTTCGCTGCAAACGAGGGCTTACAACCTTTGTCTGAAAGGTTACGTTCTCAACCGAAGCTTCTCTTGGGTGGGGAAACCCGTTGAACTTGCACCACCTTGCAGCCTGGAGAATTTTGAAGCCTTTGATGGATCCCAAATGGCTAATTATCCATTTGAAAACAGATTGGAAGAGCAACGAGTCCCTCATGTTAGAACATGATGCAGAAGGACAAGCCGGGCCACGTTCCATCCTTGTGTTTAACAAAGATCAATCGAATATATGTTTTTTTCTGTTGGCCACAGGCCTGGCACAGAGGTGGGAGAAAGGTTTCTATGTCCGACCACCGAGATATTATCTCTCCATTTGGAGGCTTCTTGTTTAGCACAGAAGTGGGCCAGGTTCTCTGTTTACCACTTGCTTTTCAAGATCCTTGTTCAGCTCGGCGCAGAAGAGAACCAAGAGGCAAATCAAAGCGCGTGGTCTATTTTGACGAGCCGTGCCGATATTCTGAGGTTGAAACACCTCCCCGATAGAAGAGGTATGGACCGTGCTTCTCTACGATGAGCCTAGCGCGGCCCCAAAATATTTGCCGGGCCGTGCCTGTTCACCGAGAGGATCACCTTCGTGCTGAACTTCCTGTCCGGATACGCGATGATCACGGGTGCCATTGCCGGGATCTTCATGGCCGATTACTGGATCTTGCGAAGGCGACAGCTCAACGTGGAGGACCCAAACGGTCGAGAACCCACCTGGTTAGTTAAGATCCCTGCAGTCGCGGGGTAAATCCCGCGGCGGAACCAAGTTTATGAACACCGTACATTTGAACGGCCGCCCAACCATACTGGCACGAAAAATCGCAGACCCGCAGACTAATTGGAGCTGAAGCTACAGAGAGGCCGATCAGAACTTGCGGTGTAGATGGTTCAGAAAACCGCCCCCCCCCCCCGCCAAATGGCCCGGGAAAGGACAGCGCTGACGGAGTAAGAGGAATGCAATGGATCCCGCTAGCTGAAGTGTAACACCTATAAGAAGTACGCAATACCTCGTTTCCTCTCTGCACATAGCACGTGGTGAGGTTTGAGGCCTTGAGCCAAAATGCTACAAGGGTTATTGCTAGAAGGTCTGTTTGTTGCGCAGGTCGATGTCATGCAAAAGCAAGAGCAAAACAGGCACAAACTTCTGTTGACCTTGCTCGTCAATTTAGTATGCGCCGTAGCCATGGACAAGACAAAGTTCAACTCTCATTGAGGTCGCGCGCGGTGCGTGATGCATCTTCGAGCTTCTTAGCTTGCTGCAATTGCAAGGCCACGCGCGTCACACTCTGATCGCGATCCGTATCTTCGACGCGTCGCGCGGTAGACTTTGTGCTTTCCGTGCAACAGGCGCAACCAGGCCGCGCTTCCTGATGCCTTTGCTCTCAGACTGCGTGAGCTTGGCGCTGAGTTGTTGCAGTGTCATCTTCTCCAACGCCTCTTGGCTATGACTAGAGTCCAACTCTTCCGCTGGTCGCCGGTAGCAATGCTCTTGATGCTGGGGTGTCGCCGCGCCCCTTTGGTCCAGCGCGACAGGTGCTTGAGTTTGTTGCGCTGTAAGCTCGCGCCATGAGCGTGGCTTCTTTCGCTGCGCGCGAGAGGCTCCTAGCCCGGATTTTGTTCAGCGGACAAGGGGCCCTGCCGGCGATGATCGCCATGCTGGGGCTCTTGTTTCAGCACAAACGGTGCTCGAGTTTTTTTGCTGAAGGCTCGCGTCATGAGAGTGGCTTCTTTCGCTGTGCGGGAGAGGCTGCCAATCGAGGTAATTACGGGGTGCTGCTTGCGATGCTCCTGATGCTTCGGCCCTTGTTTCTGTGAATTCAGCATTGCTAGGCGCATTGGCGTCATGTCCGGCCGCATCGGATCAAGTGCGCACGAGCGAACCTTTGCCGTTTTGTGAAAAGGGCGGTCATGGAGCCTCACGTCTGGCCAGTTGGCAGCGGAGCTCTTCACGATCCGCGGCCCAGATGTTTGACATGACCGATGGATCGGACCACAGCGTGTTCACCATCGGGGAGGCGTCAGATAACTACTCTGACACGGATGCAACGGCCCTTTGGATCTGTCGAGGCTGTGGCGCCCGGAGGTGGGCCTGCTTGCCGCTGTGGCGAGGCACGGATTTTTACTGGGTTCCCAACAATGGCCCAGCCCCCTGAGTGTCCTGGCATGCTTGCCAATAATTGCGATCTGCTGGAGCCGGAGTTCACCTACGCATCCTGCCCATGATGATGGTTCTCGCCAGCGCGCAGGTGCTGGTGACCCTTCAAGCGATGATTCGGAATCAGATGAGCGAGCCGAGTCAGAGATGCCCACCACAGATCCAAGAGTTCACTCCATGCTGAGACCCCTCCCACGGCGACAATCCGGTTTTCCTGGTCAGGCATGGAGAAGCTGCAGACGCCTTGGAGAAGATCTCCTCACAGCGTGAGATCTCTGTGAGGCCGTCACCGAGCTGACCCAGACACAGGATGACGGCATTGTGATCCCCGGCGTCCGCATCAACCACAACTCAGTGATCGCCATCTACAGCGACCCTGGTTGGGCCAACACCGAAGACCATGCCAGTCAACATGGCGCGCTGATCCTGATCTGCGAGCCTGCAGTTACTGAGCACGCGGTGGACGCTGTGCTCCTGGGTTGGAAGTCCAGCCGGTGTAGAAGCACCCTTGCGGCAGCAGCAGAGGCAGCTACATGGCGCTCTTCATGAGCCATCCTTCAGAACACCCCCAGAGCTTCAAGATCAAGGGGCCTCTGAGAATGCTGCGTGTTACAGACTGTAAGAGCTTGTGTGACTGCATGTGCGCCGAGAACCCCAACTGCAAAGATCGCAGAACGATCATTATGATCCGCAGCTTTTAGCACATTGCGTGCTCCAATGATCGCTGGGTTCCCACGCATTTGATGTACGCTGACTGTTTGACCAAGATCAGCAAAGCTCTTAGAAGCTCCTTTCGTGAGTGGCGGCAGCGTCCAAGAGTCATCCTCACGGACATTGCCACCAACCTGGCCTCGCGGCCGCATCGGATCAAGCGCGCGAGCCAACCTTTGCCTTTTTGTGAAAAGGGCTGACCGATGGAGCCTCATGCAAGCGGTTTAGCCAGAGTTTCAGCAAAACCGGTGCTGAGTTTTCTCGCGCCGCAAGCTCGCGCCATGAGAGTGGCTTCCTTCGCTGGGCGTGAGAGGCTGCTTTAATTTTGTGATGCTCTTGATGCTGGGAGTGTTGCCGGGCCTGGTTGCTCCAGCACGAAAAGCGCTTGAGGCTCTTTGTCCTGAAAGCTCGCGCGATGAGAGTCTGGCTTCTTTCGCTGTGCGGGAGAGGCTGCTAATTAATCCAGATCTTGCTCGGCAAGGCCAGGGGTGCTGCTGGCGATGCTCCTGATGCTGAGGCCCTTGTTTCAGCACAAACGGTGCTTGAGTTTTTCTCCCGCTGCGCGGGGGAGGCGGGCGGCTAATCAGATTTTGCTCGGCAAGTGGCCGCAAGTGGCTGGCATCAAAATGATGCACTTTCGCCCTCACCTGAACTCTTTCGTCGCAAAATCGGCGATTGCTCCTCCTAGCTAAAATGCGGGTGTCTGGCGCTCAGAAATTTCGTAAGGACCATATCTAGGAAATCAAATGCTGCAGTTATGTCTCTGTTGATTCTCTGAGCTCTAGTCAGTCCATTCTCGGTTGCTCTGCGAACCAGTTCGGCAAACGACGGAAATCGCAATCCTTCCTTCCGGTCGTGCCGACCCCCCATCTGCGCAAGTCAGAATTGAGGGGAACAACAACGGCTAAATATCCGGATACTCGGTATCGTGGTGCAGCAACTTCACGAAGGCAATCATGAACCATCTCTCCCAGCAGGAAGGCTTGATGAAGTGGAATGATTTCTGCGGGAAAGGGAGAAGGTTGACGCAGACGCTCGCCGTTGTGGCCTCAGAGAACTCGATGAAGGAAAAGGACGCACCCATCCTCAAGCGCTTCATCGACCCCGAGATCGTGAAGGTCATCATCAACATTTGGGAGTTCATGACGGCGCTCGCGAAAGATATTGATAGACAGCCTGGCACCAATGTGGTCAGCGAGGGCCAAACCGTTGGCGACGTCTATCGATATTGCCATGAACGCCATGGTCAGGCACGAATGCGTGCGGAAAGCACATCATTAACGCTCTGGTTGGAGAAGAGTGAAAAGAGGTTGACTGCATTCCGGGATGCATACTGGGTCCAAACCTACTGCACTCCGAAGGCAAGGGTGTGCACCGTGGTCAACAGCGTTCTAGACAAGGACGAGGTCCGCAGGAACCAGGAATGTGTGCAGAAACACCTGGAACTGCTCACCCTCTCCGCCAAGTATGTGGCTTTCGCTGCTAGACGCGAACCACAATGCACAGCCAAGAACATCTTGGAGCTGACGATCGCCGGGAAGATCAAGAAGATCCCCACTATCCCCGATGCCGTGCTCGCTGCGTCTATTGCTATGGAATGCGTCTTATTCCTACATGCAAGACTCAGAGGGATCTTTGGGGGCAATGATCGTGAGAGAATGGAGTCTCAATAAGGTGTTCCCTGTCATGGCCAAAGCCTGGGAAATGAAGCTGCCTGCCATCAACATGTACGCCATATGCGTTGCACCGCATGGCGAAGATCATGCCAAGGAAGGCGCGAATCGCTTAACGTGGGAATCGTTCATCGTGCTGCAGGACAACCAGACTGCGGATGAACAGCAACAGCGGGCCTTCATCAACAATTTGCTATACTCCAAAAATAGCACCAAGAAGTTCATCGACATCTTCGACGAAGATTTCGGCGAAGAACGAGTACCAGCATGGTGGAGGATATCAGGGAAAGCTCAACCTGCTCCAGAGCCCAAGGCAATGCCGAAACCCAGTGCCGGAAGACGCCACTGGTCGTGCACCGTGGTGGTCTACATGGCGGCCGCCGGGAAAAGAGCAGGATGACGGAACGGTTGTCAACGCGACCATCCAAGCGATCCTGGAGATTTCCGCAAAAGAGGAAGACGACCGATAGAGAAGCATGATGTGAAGAAATCAATAACCATCATCGAGCAGTGCGCCGCTTTCGGCAACCTCAACATTGGGGTTAGCTTTGTATTGCGCAGGAAATCCGGAGTCGTCATGCCCATTACGAAATTTGGACCAGAAGTCAAAGCGGGAAAGAGAGCATCTTACTGGGAACGGTATTTGCGGCATTTGGTGTCAACATTGCTCATCTTCGACGAGAGGAGAAGAGCTGACCGCATCATCGCTGCCTACCTCAACAAGCCCAACCTCGCCTGGCTCCAACTCTACGCATACATTTGCGCAGAGACAGGATGTCTCTATTCTGCAAAGCTACCTGGAGCAGCCGCATTGAAGGCTCTCATTGACGGTCATGACAATCCCGACACGGCCAATGCTGGAATTTCGAAGATCATTCAAGAGGTACAAAGCTGATGAGGGTACCGAACTCACATGCCAGCAATTGTGTAATGTCTCGACAGTGACCAAGTCCTACATGATCCTTGATTGGCCATTGAGGCAGAAAACTGGGAAGCACATCAGGACGTTCCAATCCCACATGCATGACAATGCATGGAACAATGTCATCGAGATATCCTACTATGCATCCGACGATATGAGACGTGGTACAAACACACCGCTTGTTGCTCGTATCAGAGGACTGATCAACACGATCAAGGGTGGCGGCAGAT